ATATATATATATAGTGAAATATCGAAATATAGAGAAACTATGTGTCCAGGTATTCACTATCGAGGAATTAAATGTCTAGATATTGTCTATATGTTTGTCGTCGAGGAAGTAAGTGTCTACGTGTTTGATTTCGAGGAAGTGAGTGTCTAGGTGTTCGTCTTCGAGGAACTAAGTGTCTAGGTGTTCGCCTTCGAGGAAGTGGGTGTCTACGTGTTCAACGTCGAGAAAGTGAGTGTCTAGGTGTTCGCCTTCGAGGAAGGGAATATCTAGGTGTTCGCCTTCGAGGAACTAAGTGTCTAGGTGTTCACCTTCAAGGAATTGGATGTCTACGTGTTCGACGTCGAGGAAGTGAGTGTCTAGGTGTTCGACGTCGAGGAAGTAGGTGTTTACGTGTTCGCCTTCGAGGAAATGGGTGTTTAGGTGTTTGTAAGAAACAATGTGTCGCCGTCGCCGTCGCCGTCGCCGTCGCCGTCGCCGTCGTCGTCGTCGTCTTCGTCGTCGTCAGCTACGGAGTGAGGAAATGCATTCTGGAAGTTTTGGCGCAAGAAATATAAATGTGTATCTATGGGTGAGGTCGAGTTGCCACTGCGAATGCTTCGAAGCGTTTGATTAACCAATTAGAAGAAAGAATTTTACAAATTAACTAATCAAGAAACGCTTCGAAGTATTCGTAGTGGCAACTCGACCGCACCCTATAATATCGATCGCTGCGATCTGTAAGTCGGATTGAGTCTCGGCAATAACAAAGGATTGAGGTTAGGAAATCTGTCACATCGATAGCATAGACGAATACCTAAGTGAGGCTAGAATATCTGTATAACTTTTTAAAGACAATTCTACTAGCTAAGGTCGTTGCGGAGATATTTTACATATGGTAAAAAACCTGCGCAACGACAGTGCTTGCGTTCGAAAATGCTGCGAGCATAAATACAGGTTAGGAAATTTGTCATCGATGGCTTATAAAAACATGTAAGTGAGGTTAAAATAAATAAATTTTCTGATCATTTATCTGGTTATTTTATGAAATATAAAATAATTTATTAAAGTTGCAATATCCTTTCGTACGGAGGATTATTAAAAAAATTTTAATTAAGAGTGTACGCAATGCAGTAGAAAGTGAAGATTTGAATCTCCTCGATTTAACGCAATCTGACGTGATTGGTGGCTCGGTATCTCTTTATTACATTCACACATTTTGAAATCACCAAGCACGCTTCTGGTTCGTGGAATTATCGTGAAATTATTAAAGCATCTCTTCGATATCGTATTAGATAAGTTTTATAATATATCTATTAACCTGTTTTCTCTGTTCTCTATATAAAATTTGTTAAAAAAGAACTGGGTAATTATATAGAATACGGGCCTTGTTGTGTATACGGCTTGAGAGCATCGAGAGAGCGACTGTCCGAGATATCGAGATATCGAGGAGATAGCGATAAGGAAGGGGAAGGAGAAGAATGTCGACACTTTACGTTAAAGTAAAATCTTGACACGTTGCTTAATTTCAAATTACCCTTCGTATTGTACTAGTTATTGTTAAATATATTATACATTGATTTCAGCAGTAATCCTCGAGTGTGATTTATTTGGCGTGAAACATAACATTTGGCGACGAGGTATTTTGTAACCCACAACCGAAATAACACAAAATATAAAAGTGTTAGGTTATAGCGCTACAATGCCAGTCGGAAGGATAACGGAATTCAATCCAGACACCGATGATTTTGAATCGTGGGCAGGTGTCCTTACGAATTATCTGTTAGCGAATGATATAGATGAGGTCAAAGGAGATGCAGCTATGAAAAAGAAGGCAATAGCAATATTATTAGCATCAATCGGCGTGTCAACGTACGGACTTCTTCAAAGTCTAGTTTCGCCAGCCAAACCAGAGGAAAAAACATTCGTAGAGCTTATTAAAGTGCTCAAGGATCATTATAAACCGGCACCAAAGGCAATTGCGGAGAGATATAAGTTCTACAAAAGAGTTCAACTACCAGGATAATCAATAAATGTCTACCTGTCTGAGCTATGCAAAATAGGTGTAACATGTAAGTTCACAGATATAAATACGTCATTAAGAGATCAACTTGTTGCAGGTATTCGTTCTGAAACAGCACAAAAACGTTTATTTCTTGAGGATGACGACCTAACCTTAGAAAACGCTGTCAAGATTGCTACTAGTCAAGAAGCGGCTGATAGTAGTACTCAGTTAATACGGCATAATAGTAGTCCTACTGCCATTGAAAACCAAACTAATAAAGTTAAATCGTCGTCATCTAAACAACCTCAATATGCTAGTAAGAACAATACCAAAATAAAACAATGGAAGTCATGTTCCGGTTGCGGAGGTAAACACATGAAGAAAGATTGTCCACACAAGGATGTTGTTTGTCATCGTTGTAATAAATCCGGTCATTTTGCACGTCGATGTCTATCGCAATTTAAAAGTGAAGGTGGAGAGGGGAAGCATAAAACAAGTCAAATTAAAAATGTCAAGCAATTGTCGCATGATAATCCTATCATGATTAACGTCCGTTTAAATGGAGTTCCGACAGATTTAGAATTAGATACTGCATCAGGTACTAGCTTTATCACATTCAATATATGGAAAAAGTTAGGCTGTCCCAAACTCTATCCGAGCAAAACAAGGTTCAAAACATACACTGGGCAAAAATTCGAGTCAAGAGGAACGTTTCTTTGCATCATTGAATATAATCAACAGACAGTCAGTCATCAGATTCATGTTTCTAAAGGATCTTGTCTTTTTGGTCGCGATCTTTTAAGGAAGATTCAAATGGACTGGACAGAAATTAAAAAAACAATGTTCTGAGGTATGTCGCGTTAGCAATGAATTGTCACTTGACAAGTTGTTAAAAGAATATAGTGATGTTTTTGATCAACCGATCGGAACTATCAAGGGTTTTAAAGCCAAGTTAATGCTCAAGGAAGACGCTATTCCTCGCTTCTTTAAATCACGTCCTGTTCCATTTGCATTGCAAAACAAGGTTGACAAAGGACTTGAAAAAATGGAAAAATCCGGTGTCATTAACCGTATTGAAACATCGGAATGGGCTTCGCCATTGGTAGTAGTACCAAAGCCTAATGGAGCGGTTCGCATCACTGGAGATTTTAAGCGTACCATAAATGGTCAATTGCATATTCAGCAATATCCCCTTGCAAGAGTTGAAGAAATACTCGAGAAGATTTCAGGTAGTCAAACTTTCACTAAATTGGACGGTCCAGATGCATTTCATCAAGTAGAAGTAGAAGAGTCATGTAAGAAGTATTTAGTCATAAATATTCACCGAGGTCTCTATAGATATAACGTATTACCTCAAGGTATTTCATCGTCACCGGTAATTTTTCAAGAGTTAATGGATAGAATGCTCAAAGGAATTCCGATGACAGGATCATTTGTAGATGATACAATTTCTACCGGGAAAAACAACGAAGCTCATTTGCAAAATCTCAAAATGATACTCCAACGTATGAGAGAATGGAATTTTCGTCATTCAAGAAAAAAAATGCATATTTATGCAACAATCAGTCAAGTTTCTTGGACAAATTTTGTGTGCAGAAGGTATCTGTACCGACCCGGAAAAGGTGGAATCAATTATGTCCATGAAAGGGCCCAGAGATGTAAAGGAGGCAAAGTCTTTTTTAGGTTTGGTAAACTTTTACAGTAAATTTATTAATAATTTATCACATCTCTGTGAGCCGCTGAATAAATTAACGCGTATTGGCGTTGTTTGGAATTGGAATAATCAATGTAAGGAAAGTTTCAAGAAAATAAAAAAATCTGTTTCGAGCGCCCCTGTGTTAGCTCATTATCAACAGAATGTTCCTATTGGCATAGCATGTGATGCATCATCTGTCGGCATTGGAGTAGTTTTATTTCATCATCACGAAGACGGAAGTGAACAACCGATTTATTTTGCCTCTAAAACATTATCATCCGCCGAACGTAATTATTTGCAAGTGGAGAAAGAAGCTCTAAGTGTTATATTCGGAGTAAAACGCTTTATTCAATATTTATATGGACATCGCTTCATACTGATCACAGATCACAATCCACTACTCGCAATATTTAGTCCAAATCGTGATCTACCGTCTCTAGCAGCAACTAGATTACACCGTTGGGCTATGTACCTGTCTAGTTTTTTGTATGATATTGAGTATCGCAATACTCATCATCATAGTAATGCGGATGCATTGTCACGTCTACCACTGAATATTAATCAGCCAGTAGACATTATAGTAGAAGAAGAAGTCAAGACCATTGTAAAGGAACACCCAATATCTTCAAGCTTAATAAAGCTGAAAACTAGTCGCGATCCAACATTGTCAAGTGTTATTCGTTTCATTAGAGGAGGTTGGCTAATTAAGCAATCTCAGCTACCAGATAAACTGAAACCTTACTTCACTCATCGAGATGAATTAATAGTAGAACAAGGAATTGTTATGTGGGGTATACGAGTCATTGTTCCTGAAGCGCTGCGTCAACAAGTCTTAGAACAATTACACGAGACACATTCTGGAATTGTTCGAATGAAGTCGTTAGCAAGAAGTCATGTATGGTGGCCAGGAATAGATAAAGATATTGAATCACTTGTAAAATCTTGTATGTCATGTGCAGTCAATCATGACAATCCTGCCACAGCACCGTTTCATCCCTGGTCATTTCCTGAAAAATCATGGCAACGCTGCACATAGATTTAGCGGGTCCTTTTCTTAACAGTATGTGGTTAATAATTGTAGATGCTTGTAGCAAATGGCCAGAAATATACAATTTGGGAAAAGACACATCGTCAGCACTTATTATTCAGTGTATACGAGAGAGTATTGCACGTTATGGTATTCCAGACACCATAGTCTCTGATAACGGTCCTCAATTTGTATCAAGAGAATTCGAGGAATTCTGCAAAGGAAACGACGTTCGTCATACTAAGTCAAGTGCCTATCATCCTCGAAGTAATGGGGAAGCCGAACGATTTGTTCGAACGTTTAAAAATTGTATGAAACGGAATAAGCATGCACAAAAAGATAACATAGAACTGTGTAATTTCTTGTTTAATTCTATAATTAAACAAGAAATTACACAGTTCTATGTTATCTTTTTGTGCATGCTTATTCCGTTTCATACAATTTTTCCTATGATCACAGCTCATACAACTACAGGTGCTGCTCCCTCTGAGCTTATGATGAGAAGACCATTGAAATGTCGCTTAGACTTGCTTCATCCGAATGTTGATTCTGTTGTCAGGAATAAACAAGAGAAGCAGCAGCAGCAATTTGGCAGAAAGTTCCTGTTCGTCAATTCAATATTGGAGATAAAGTTTGGATTCAAACGTTTGGAAAAAATGACCCTAAATGGAGTCTGGGTGTCATTATAAAATCCATTGGTCCAGTATCATATATCGTACGAGTAGATAATCGTACTATCAAACGACACGTGGATCACATAATTTCGGCATCTTTCCGGGAAGTACCAGAATCCAACTCAAGTGAAATCATCATTAACCCAGGAGAATTGTTTAATTCAAAGGAGCCAAAAAATATTGATGAGTCAAGTTCAGATCCAGGATCCGCTTCAAGTGAAACAACGGAGATGTCTCAGCGTCCTAAGCGTAACGTCCAACTCCCTGATCGTCTAGGATATACGAGTTTCAAATAAGAGGGAAGGAGATGTTGTGTATAAGGCTTGAGAGCATCGAGAGCGTGACTGTCCGAGATATCGAGATATCGAGGAGATAGCGATAAAGAAGGAGAAGGAGAAGAATCTCGACACTTTACGTTAAAGTAGAATCTTGACACGTTGCTTAATTTCAAATTACCTTTTGTATTGTACTAGTTATTGTTAAATATATTTTACATTGATCTCAGCAGTAATCCTCGCACACTCGAGGATTACTGTTGAGATCAATGTAAAATATACTCACAAGATTTATCACAGATATAATCACAGATTTATCTGGCGTGAAACATAACAGGCCTCACCTCCGATTTTGATCTAATTAGGCTTATTCGACGCGTTTTCACTCAAAATGAAAGGATCCGGAAGAAATTTGTGGCGCTCGACCTCGTGAACCGAGATATTAAGCGTTAAAGTTCGAGATTTTAGAGGTTAAGATATCTGTCACTGCTTTAAAAATAACAAATTACTGCTTTAAAAACACAAAAACACTGCTTTAAAAATACAAATTCACTGCTTTAAAAAACAATTCACTGCTTTAAAACAATAGTGGAGTCCCCCCGCAGCGGAATCCACTGTATCCACGCAAACACTTTTACAACGTAGATACAACATGCGTGGATGCAGTAAGTTCCGCCCCTCCTGCGGGAAGGTTTCACTATTGTTTTTAAAGCAGCGAATTGTTGTTTTTACAGTAACAGTACAATCATAGAGGGACTGAGGGAGCGGAACATACTGTATCCACGCATATTACTTCTACGTTAAAAGTGTATGCGTGGATGCAGTAGGTTCTGCCCCCCCTGCGGGGGGGGCTCCACTATTGTTTTAAAGCAGTGAATTGTATTTTTAAAGCAGTCTTTTTGTGTTTCTAAAGCAGTAATTTGTTATTTTTAAAGCAGTGACAGATATCTTAATCTCTAAAATCTCGAACTTTAACGCTTAATATCTCGGTTCACGAGGTCGAGCGCCACAAATTTCTTCCGGATTCTTTCATTTGAGTGAAAACGCGTCGAATAAGCCTAATTAGATCAAAATCGGAGGTGAGGCCCGTATTATATAATTACCAAGAACTGATGTTGTATTTTAATTACAGATTTGAAAGAAAAGACCTGAATCCAATCTGTCAGTATATACCTTTATATTTGATAGTTATCGCAATATTATCCTATGAAATAATTTATTATTTATCAGGTCTCTATTACATTTGTCCTATTTTTTACAATATCTTTACAAGTATATCCTGCTAAACAATACATTATTTCATAGAATAATTTTGAGATAACTACCAGACAAATAAATAATAATACAGTAAAAGGCAACTCACAAAATAAACACAGTGATGAGAAAATTAAGATTACGCCAGATAAAATTATTTGGTTTTAGTACACATTGCCTTTTAAGGATAACAAATAGTTTTCTGGATATTTTAGTAAATGGTATATAAATATGACAGAGATAGGTACAGGCCTTTCCTTTCAATAAATCTAAAATTATAATTCAGTACAAAGGATCAGTTCTGTTATAATTATGTGAAAAATAGAGAAAATAAATTAATAGAGATTCTAAAATTATCTGATACAATATTGATTCCAATCATTTCAGATTTGTGTAGAATTTCTATTAATTTGTTTTCTCAATTCTTTATATAATATAATTGTAAAAGAACTGATTCTTTGTACTGTCCTTTTTTTCAGATTGAAAGAAAAGGCCCGTTATTATTTTTACAAAACAGTAGGAAGTGAATTTTGAATCTTCCCAATTTAATGTAACCGTCTGACGTGATTGCTGACCTGATATCTCTTTGTTACGTTCACACATTTTAAAGTCACCAAGCACGCTTCTGATTCATGGAATTACCGTGAAATTATTAAAAGATCTCATCAATATCGTATCAGATAAGTTTTCTAATATTTGTCCTCTCTTTTCTCTACATAATTAAAAAAGAACTAATTCTATATACTGTATTTTATTTTCAGATTTATTTTCAGATTTATTGAAAGAAAAGGCCTGAATCCAATCTGTCTGTATATACCTTTATATTTGATAGTTATGTCAATATTATTTTATGAAATAATTTATTATTTATCAGGTCTTTGTTACAACTCAGTATTATCCTATAAAATAATTTATTATTTATCATCTATTTTTTACAATATCTTTATAAGTATATCCTGATCTAAGAGGTACCATCCTTACACTTATTTAATTCTAATGACATGTATTATTTGTATGTATATATAAACTTACCTTGTAACGATGCCCCCTAAAAATAGGCATCGTACCCGGCACGAACACCTAGCCGGTTGCCGTCGTAATGACCGGTGGTCATTAGCAACGATAAGGGCGCGGTGCGCCCGAATATATTTTAATTCAAAATCAAACATAATTCGCAGGAACAGCAGCCGTCGCTATAACCGCCAGTCTCGCCGGAAAGGGCCGACCGTCGCCGGGGACCGCCGATCGGAAATCTTCTCCCACGAGAAGCCGATCGGCGGAAAATACCGCGACCAACCGAGGCATTACGAGCGAGACTGGCGGCCTGGTATAAGATACCGCGATATCAAGCCGCGCGTGGCATTTTTGTCTTCACTGCTTTCCTGACACATATGATCCGATCACCAGTTCCTTAGCTCACGATACCGATCCAGCGACTCGCTCGTCCGACGAACCTGAGGGGTAGGGTGTACCCTGCCTCTGCCGGGCGCTCCCGGCCGCCGAACGAGCCGTCCAGGAAACGCATCTCGAGCGCGCAAACTAATTCACGTGTTGTTCCGACGAACCTGAGGGGTGGGGTGTACCCCGCCTCTGCCGGGCGTTCCCGGCCGCCGGACAGCCGTTATTAGTTATCACTCGCACCTTCCGTACCTTCTTTTCCGCATCCCGAAAATCCCGTCTTGGTACTTGACATTTGAAAAGGGGTAGGGCGCTCCCTGCCTCTGTCGGGCGTTCCCGGCCGTCAAGTACCAACTCCGTTTCCTTTTTCTTAGTATTGCCAAATTACGTATCGCGCCGCGAAACGACGCTTGCTGGCGTATACCCGCGTTCCGCTGCGATTGCATACCGCCGCCGAGAAAACTCGCGACCGCCGTGGATATCCCGCGTTTATCCTGCACCACAATTGGCATCAATGGTTGCTACGCAGTTCCAAAAAGAAGTACATCCAGAATTATGTCGACGATTGTTACGAAGTAATGGTTTACATGCACGAGTTCCAAGGACAAAACCCTTTATTAGCAAAAAAAAATAAAATTCTACGCTTAAAATTTACTAAAGAATTTATTAATAAAGACAATTCGTTATGGGATACAGTATTATTTTCTGACAAAAGTAAATATAATATTTTTGGTAACGATGGACGTAAAAGTGTTTGGAGAAAACAAAACACAGAATTAGAACCGACAAATTTACGACCAACAGTAAAACATAATGGTGGCTCCGTAACGGTGTGGGGCTGCATGGCAGCTAGTGGAGTGGGAAATCTTATATTTATTGATGGGATCTTAGATAAAATAAAGTATTTAAAACTTTTACAAGATAATTTAAAAGACAGTGCATCAAAATTGAATCTAACCAATAATTATTACTTTCAATCAGACAATGATCCGAAGCATTCAGCGAAAATTGTCAAAGAATGGGTACTGTATAATGTTCCAAATACATTGCCACATCCATCACAAAGTCCCGACTTAAATCCCATCGAGCATTTATGGGATGAGGTGGAAAGAAGATTAAGAAATACAGCTATTACTTCGAAAGAAACGTTGAAACAAAATATTATTGAAATATGGTAATCAATAGACGAAAATGTTACTTCGAAGTTAGTCCACTCAATGGAAAATCGTCTTAGGGCTGTAATAAAAGCAAAAGGCGGATCAACTTCTTATTAAAACTGTGAATTATTCAATTTAAGTAACTATTAAATGTACCGTTCGAATACTTTTGTGATCCACTTATGATGCGTGTTAACAATAAATGTATTGTAAAGACTATGTACATTGTTAAATTATTTTGTAATATCACTTATGTAATCTTAAGACCTATCCCTTGCTATACATAGCATATTGTTTTAAATGCTTCAATTTATACACATATTTAAGTCGTTAAATGTTAAAAATGTAAGCGTTCGAATACTTTCGTGTATGAGTGTATATATGTTTTCAAAATTTATTACATTTACCTTATACATATATTACATAAATTACACAAAATTCCATAGATGTGTGTGTAAATATTGTATATATTAAATATTATTTGAATAATTATATAATAAAATATTATAATTGGTACATACACTCGGGTGGAGAATCAAAACGTAGGATAATATATAAGGTAAATGTAATAAATTTTGAAAACATATATATATATATACATATATACATATTTAATCCTCTAAACTAAAAGTATTTATAAATTTTATTAAATTAACTTATTATTTGAAACGTCATTTCTTGCTTCATTTTTGCGATTACATGTAACGGCATATATAGACAATTCGAAACATCTCTGTCAATAAGGTAACAGTGGAGCAGTACGTTAGGTGAACAACTCAGAACTGGACCGTGGATCGAGGAGTCACAAGTTCTCAAATCCTATCAGGTTTAAAAGTTTTTTCCTAGGTATTATTAGTCAGCACTTAAGGAGAGGACACAAATGATGGAGAAAGAAATCTAATTAATAAAGAACTGCTGTAAATTTTTTTTT